TTAAAATGCACAGAAATGTGCAAATGTGAAGGTGATGCTTCAAATTGTGACAACATAGAATCCTCCGATGATAAGGGAGAAGACGAAGAGGCCATTGATGAATCCAGCGACAGTTGTGATGAGTAAATCAATCAGAACTCAAGATATTTTCTCAGAGCTTCTATACTTAAAATGTTAATATGTTAAGGAAAAATTGGCAAGGTAACATGGTAATTGGTAAGGTACTAGGGTATGGCATGGTCATATAGTGTGGCATGGTACTATGGTAAGGTAATATTGTATGGCATGGTAATATTGTAAGGTAAGACGGTATGGCATGGTAATATGTGAAGGTATTTAATGATTTTGGGTAATTTGAGGCAAAATCTATATAACACAACTTTTAAATTGAAAATACATTTTTGTAATCATTGAAGGAAATACATCGAAAAACATGATTCATCTACTTTGTTTATTATTTATTTGCCCAAACACACATAAAATCTTCTAACAGTGTTAAGTCTTACTCGCTTGTCGGGTCCAGTTTTAGACTTTTGTGAGTATTTTGTACTTTTATTTTTATTCGCGGCCGATTAGCAGACTTTGCAGACAAATTCTCCTGGATACTCCGATAAGAAACTTCGCAAAAGGTAAGTACACCCTAAAATTTGATAGCCGTCCCGAGGATGCATGGTTTCACTACTTACCTCGACATTCACATTTTACGTGGTTATTTTATCATTTAAGATCGGCTATTGTAGCAGCCATTTATAGTGTCAAAGTGGATGGCAAAGGCGTATACGTGTGATCAGATGAATTTTAACTTTGAATTTGGTTTGAGAGGCCCCACAAATGTATTAAATCAGGACTACCGCTGTGTGTAATTGCTTTTATTCTATCCATGCCTGCCATTAGCCGCCACGATGAATTTACGAGCTTCAATATTGGCCAAGAGTAATTTTTGACTTCATATTCGTAATTTGCGACCCAAAATACATCAGAAACGATACCCCACTCGACGCCATACGCCGATACCAAAAATACAGGTTTCGATCGGCGGCCATTTTGGCCGCCATATTGGATTTTGGTTTTTTTTTTTATGGGCCGTACAGTGAGTTGTAACTCTGTTTTGAAACCTGGGACCACACAATACAATCATTGGCCGCCTTACTAGACGGCCAAATGAGAACTCAGCGATTTTCGCGCCGGGTGGGTATTTTCAGCCGCCATGTTGGATTTGCGACATTTTTTTTGATCGGAGGGTATTTTAAACATCATATTCGGATTTTACGACCCAAAAAACATAGGAATCGATACCTCACATGCCATAATACGGAATTTTCAAAAATAAGGCCTACCGAGCGGCCGCCATTTTGTTTTTGGGCTTTAGGCGCTTCCTGCACGATTTTCAAGGTTATCACCATCCAAATTCTGATTCTAGACATCATAACGAAGAGATTGATACCACTCACCAACTTTTTTCAGAAAGTTGCACACGGATGTACATATGAGAACAGACTAAATAGATATTAATGTACAACATTTGGATTGCATTTTGCAAAAAAGAACCAAGAGCATTCCAATGTTGCTAGGATTGTACAACTTACAATCTTTGCAAAAAAAAAAAAAATCCCTGAAGTCATGCAAAAAGTTGAATTACAAAGGTAATTTTCAGCTTGAATTTATACTTCATTGGGAGTAAAGATAACATTTATTTAGGTGATCAGTTTATATTTGCAAGGTGAAAAAAGTTGCACAATCTTCGCAACATCGGAATACTCGTAGTTCCTTTTTACAAAATGCAACCCATGTAATCATAAAATATTTGAAAATATAAATCTTACTTAGAGTACTAGAGGTGCGAGAAAGCATTTCAAGTAAGGTTTTTTCTTGCATAAAATTCGTTTGGTTTTTAAACCAAACTGATTTGAAAAAAAATCAACAAAATATGCAATTTTCACAAATGCCGTAGGATATTCTCTAACAACCGACAGTTAAACATTTTTCTGGGTAGTTGTATGTATATCTTAGACTATCCTATCCTATCGCCTTTGGATCGTGATTTGCTCTGAGTCTGAAGAGTTTTCTCGACATTGTGAGATTGCACAAAATCAATAAATACGCAATACGCACCGAAGAAAATCAGTAGTCATAATAATCCGCATGATTTTTCTGACCATCCACGTCCTCAGTGACTATTGTGACTTCTTCATCATAGGGATTGGCATCGGTGCCGCAATATTGAGCCCGTATGAAATTAAAAGCCCATGGTGTTCGTTCGAGTTTATATTTTTCAGCAAATTTGAAAACAGAGAAGTTCCTCCTGCTAATCAGGTCGCTGAAACAAAAAAATGATACCTACAAAGCCCTGAATTTTCATCATAAACGTATGTTCTTTTCATTCATATCTGCCCGCTCGAGGTTGAATTTCAGAATTACTTTTTCCAGATTTCTTTAATCTTTCTCTCACGATTCCTCGTTTGAACGTGTTTTTGAGATTCTGCAGGCCTCCAGAAAACGTTGCGAGGTTGAATTAAATCGCTAAAATCATCTACATCTAAGCGATTATCCTCAATCTTGTTGCAATAAAATCGCGATTTTATCGCCCGGCAATTTATACCTACTTTACTTTATGTCAGAGGAGAATATTGATGTCAACAAGAGGTCAGTGCTAATGCAATAATCTTACAATTAGAGGAACTAGATAAAAACATGAGTTTCAGGAACTTATATGGTTCAATACATGGATGGGTCTTACCTCTTTAACCTTAGAGGCTCATTGAACTTGATGGTTTTGTTCCCTTGGTTGAATAATACAAAAATGTAACGATGGAAACCTGGAAGTAAATATTGACATTATATGTACATTATAATAATTTATATGCTCATATTTTGCGAAACAAACATTTTACTAATTGACTAAAAATGCGACCTGAACTAGCACCGGTAGGTTATAGTAAGGATTTACTTCGGTTCATGACAGAAAACATAGCGCAATCAGGACTGCTTCACTCAGAATTTTAGAAAATTAACTTTGTGAAAGTAACATAAATGGCTTGAAAGTATATGAAAGAGCTCAAAAGATTTTATTTACCTAATACGCCAAGCAATGAGGCTCTTTGCATGCCCCAGGGTTTGTGCCCTAAGTAATTTTTTACAAGTATATTTTGGCGAGAAGCATGATGGAGCAACTGGTTTTCTCTGGAAAAACCCCAAGCTCAAAAAAACCTCCTAAATTTGAGGCCTCACTGAAGAGGATCACACATTCGATACTCAGAGTGTCCACTGCTATATCCAGCCAAGCTCTCCATGCACAGACGAGGAGCAAGTACATGGCAAGCTTACCATTTTTTGTCGGTATTCCAAGGCTGCAGCCCCACGCAGCAAAACCCTGCAAGGTAATTTATTTGTTCCTTATCTGTGTTTTAATGTGGATGCCAGGGTCGGATTTATACCTACTTGCCGCCCATGGCCGCCTGCTTTTTGCTTCCCCCTTCTCATTCGTTTTGAAACATAAATAAAAACCGTCAAGTGAACGTGCCGGAGGGGGAGGGGTGCAAAAGACGCGTTTGCCTACTCGTGTTCAGTACATTTTTTGCGAAAGCCCTGGCAACACTACCAACAAAATTTCACGGAACTTTGCGCGAAAGTTAAGTTACGTAAACATATCTCTGTGTGAACAAGGTCCTCCGTGTATAAGAAATGAACCAAAAAATTGAAACAACAAACATAAATGTGGTTTAATAATTTTAACCTCCGCCGCTGCGCCGGGCTGATCGCACTGTGTTTGGTGTAGAGTCCCTTTATACCCAGAGTAACGACAACTCGATTATCAGCTGACTGGCAGCCGACCTTGGCTGGCCATGGAGGCCGAAACTAGTGCACTCAAACGAACGATATTGAGGGATAAGGATCAGGAATCCTGCGATGTCTGTCACACAAAAACGACAACATCAACAAATTGATCAATTAAAACGAAAATTAGATTGGTTTGTGAATAATTTCTTAATCTATTTTCATTTTATACCGATGGAAATAACAATTTACTCTTGATAAACCACAATTAGGTAATATTTTCATTATTCTTGTTCACATTCGAGGTACCGCCATCTTGGTGCACTAGTTTCGGCCTCCATGAGCGAGAACCAATCAGAATTGGATTTTTTTTTAGGCCACTTTCAGCCCAATCCTGGCCCAACCAAAAGTGAGTTGTCGTAACTCTGGGTATAAAGGGACTCTAGTTTGGTGGAATGCATGAAGTATTCATGCAGTCTTGTAGGCGCTACGCGTTTCAAGCCAACTGCTCCTGACCGGCGCGGCGCACTGTGCTTCACGCAATGGGTGAAGTATTCATGCAGTCTTGTAGGCGCTAATATGTGTTACATGTCGACCGCAGTGCCGAGGGCTTGTCCTTTTCATCTCAAGTCCTCGTCGTGTCCTCTCTCTGCGCTGAGCTCCAGGCCAAATTGTGTGTTTAGTTCCTCTCTTAACTCGGCTAATTAAAGATGCTGTCTCTTTTATCACCGAAAAACGATAAAATTAGAAATTACTACACTCTCAGGAACGTAATTTTTTTTTCTGAATCCGATTTTTTTTATACCTACTTTTAAAAAATTTCAAAATTTGACGCCCCCTAAATTTGCCGCCATGGGCCGCGGCCAATGTGACAGCCCCCTTAATCCGGCCCTGCGATGAACAGTTTGACTGGATATAGAGGTGGTCTCTAACCATGACATAAGTAGGTGATCCTTTTCATCATGGTCTCAACTTTAGGAGTTTCTTTTGGGCCTGAAAGTTATCTGTTCAGAGTAAAACCAGTGGCACCAGTGTGTTTCTCGCAGAATTTTACATGTGAAAACGGATTTAACTCGCAAATCTTAGTATAGCATGCAAGATTTCCGCTGAGGTTCTCTTACCTGTATCAGCTCCTGGATGTGGGCCAACGTACTGTGTCAAAGTGTCCCCAGCCTTCACGTCGAATCTGGGTATATTGACAACCATCCAGTGCAGCCATTCTCTCCAATAATGATATTTAGAACTAGGCGCATCATAGTCTGTACGCAAAAAGAAGACAAATTAAATGTCTCTTTAGCGATGTTTCAGCGCATTTAAGTAATTACAATACAATTTTACAATCTGTCTGATGGTCATCGTACGTTACAACTGGGACTTCACTATATCAAACATTTTTACTCTGAAGTTTCCAATATGAATATCAGTTAGTTAGTAACACAGTCTTTAGCTTTTTGACACAAAAGGATGTCTGTTAAAATAGTCGAATTATTAAAATGTGGGTAGAACATTGGCATTTGTTTTTGAAAATACATACATTTTTTACTTTATTGATAAATTCATAAATCTGTAGAAAAGGAAAAGTCATATTTTGAGAGAGAAGAAATGAGAGCAGAAGCATTTGAGTTCATTGCTATTTTGAAAATTTTCTACGAAAGAATCTTACTAATCATAATAGCAGTGTAGTAGCATTCTGGATCTGCTGACCACTGTAAGTACGGTGCCTCCCGCGTCTGAAATGGTGATAAGTTGTTTCCATAGTTGGCAATCATGGTACTTTTAAATTCCACCTGGAATAATATTGATTTCAGCTTAAAAAGGTAAATGAAATGTTTGTGAATATTTGAGTAGTACAGTAGGTATCCGAGGGGCGCTACAAGGTTTGCAATCCACACAATTTGAGGAATATTTTGCTTTTGTAAATACTGTAACTTTTATTCGCGTGAAATTAAGTCTAAATTTCTCCAATACATTTTTATTCTGATTCGTACGTATACTAGATTGGAGGCTACATGTATATAAAAATCCCTTTACACGTAAAACTAATTAGTCACTTTTAATTTTTTAAGGGGAGTCTTTTGAAACTTGGGAGTGTGGTACGAATATACATAGGTCGCAAAATACATATAAAAACGACTTTCGCCCGAATAAGAGCACACAAAAGTCGGCCTAAGAGTCGGCTTCCAGTGCTGCCATGCTAAGGAAGAATGCCTTATGAGCCTTCAGACGTTGCCAAGTTTCTTTCGATAAAAGTCGAATTTACTGGGAAAATTGTGCATATTTTTTCCCAAAATTTTCAGACTATTTTGTACGCAATTTAATCTAAAGTATCTGAAGATTTCAAAGAAAAATGTGCGTAAATTTCGTCAAAAATGCATGTTTTATCAAGGGAAATTTGGCAACTCTCGAATGTTCATACGGCGTTCTTCCTTAGCACGGCAGTGTGGTGTGGTGATTGTAGCGCTGGCTCTATAATCAGGAGGTCTCGGGTTCGATTCCCGGCTAGGCGCAGGCGATCCGAGTTTGATCATCATGTTTGAGACCATCAAACTTTGATGGTCTCAAACAACGGTTGCCTTGGACTGGTGCATGGTAGGGACGGAGGGGGCGGGACTCTAACTGGAAGCGCAAGCTCAGAATTACCACTTGTGTAGCGTTTGAATTGGTAGGAAAAAAAAAGAAAAAAAAAATCAACAGTATCTAAGACAAGATTATTTATTTCATAAAGGCTTTTCATTTAACCTTTTTACTGTAGATAAAATTGAAAATTAAGACATTGCACGTTAATTAAATGAACGGATTGTTTCTATTTATCATCAATATTATTGGTTGACTGATGGATTTTTTTTCTATTTTTCTTTTTTTAATAGAAGGTTATTTTTGAATAACTCACTTGTAAATCGCGAATGGTGCCGAGGTCGGATAAAAATTGAGGCATCAACCTGTACTGAATTAGGGCTCTCTTGATTAATTTCTTGTTTCGTTTGACAACGCCGCTGGAAAAAAAAATATGCATCTCAATTTTTACACAAGAGTAACTCAGCGTTAGAAATTCGGAGTGCCAAAATTAAATTCGTCATCAATTTCAATCACTTTTTGAATCAAGATCATGCAAGATTCGTAAGATATTCGAAAGTAGGTAGTGACAAAATGTTTGCCTACCCAAATGTTCGAAGAAATTTTTTGCATTTTCTTATTTAAAAAAAAAATACTTTCTTGTGTTTTTGTCCTGCTTCTTTCAGAAGATAATGGGGGAAAATGATGGGGTAAGCACAGCCATAATAGGAAGGAAAAAGCAGCAATTTGTGAAAATTGTTCGCTCCATATAGTCTACAGTAACAATGGGCATAATACTATTATGTAGAGCAACTTCTAAACCTGAGCCCAAGAGAAAACGCCTTCTTTTTCAGATTGTGATTACTTTTTTTTATATTTTTTATTTATTTACTTTTTTTATGGAACTTTTATCATCCTCTTTACGATGTCACATATGCCTGAATTTGTTGAGCAAAATCTTTGCGTTCAAGGCGACATATCATCATTAACGCTCTGCGTAAAAAACAACCAAAATTTGCTAATATAATTGCATGTTTTACACCAATCAAACTTACTACTGAACTCCTGGTGGTACGCGTGAGCCTTCCTCGTCTCCGATGTCTCCCTGGAGATTTAGTTGGATTCGATTGAAATGCTCATTATGTTCAGAAGAAGATTTGGTATCTTTATGGACGACCCTGGCAAAGCTGAAAAAATTGCATATTCATTCGTAAACCTCATATACATACTTTAAAGTATAATTATCGTCAATAGGTCCCGGGTTCGAATCCCGGTGGTGGCGTCTAATTTTCACGGAATTGACGAGTAGATCTGCTGAAACAGATTCTCCTCGGCCCTAATCCCTGAAAATTAGAAAAGCCTGGAGCATGGAGCCTGATGTCTACGGACACTAAACATTGTCTAAAGTTGGCTGAAGGTGCTATAGACACGAAGCCATTAAACCAGCAAAAAAAAAAAAAAAAAAGTATAATTATCTCCTTCACCCCCACATTATTCCTCTCTATTGTTCCAATAACCCTGGTAAAAGTTGGCAGTAGAATCTGTGTTCCAAAATACCATAGACCTACGGCCGGCTGTAAGATTTCCAATAGCTTCCATAGCCGGCTGCACAATTTCTTATAGCCTTTTATAGCCGATAGCGATTAAGCAACAGCCAGGCGATAACGTTTATGCTAAACGTCACTAATTACGGATGCTAGGACTTAGTGAGTTTTTGGACCACTGCTCTCTTTTAGGACCGTCGTATCTTGATTTATTTTGCGAGGAAAGCCCCGTACTTTTGATGGATGCCTGCCATTCCTGATATATTAGAGCGCCTTCAGTTTCGTATGATACTGTGCAATACCTTTGGTGTGAAATAGTTGCTTCAAGCGCCGCGCGCCGTGGCACGCTGCGGCGCGGCGGGCGGGTAGCCAGCGCGAAGAGCGCATTAGCGCCTACAAACCTAACAGGGATACCTCACGCGTTGCGCAATGCGTGAAGTATCCCTGTTAGGTTTGTAGGCGCCAGTGCGACGCCGCTCCGCTTTGTGTTAGGCTCTAATATTTAATCTGGCGGAGTCAGCGTTATTCAACTCATGATTTTGAAATTTTTTGCACATCCTGTATGGATTATTCTCGTTTTTATTAATGAAAAAAATGTGTTAAAGGAAAATATAACGTGTGTTTTGTAAATATTAAGGTGGTTCCGTATCAAACTTAATGATGTCCAAAGCACACGAATTTCTACACAATTCATTATAATCGATGGCGAAAAAGCAACAGCCAGGCGATAAAGTGTAAACCCCGGCTATAGGAACTGTAGCCCGGCTGCATAATTTTTTATCGCTTCATATAGCCCGACCGTATAATTTTCTACGCATTCTACAGCCAGCTATATGATTTTCTGTTGCCTTCTTTAGCCGGCTATAAGAATTCCTATGGTATTTTGAAACGCAGCTCTTATCGCCAATTTTTACCAGGGAATACCAACTGAAGTATCAATAAACTTCATATGGACGTATTTCTGCTAAACGAGGCACAGAGGGCCAGGAATCGAATTTAGCTGGACAAAAGTCCATTTTGGCTTGTCCGAAAAATTCGGAAATAGACACCACTGAGCGATGAGGTATATCATGGAGTATCTGTACATCACTGGGTTTGGGGGTCTTATCACTAATAAGACTGCGATGCCAAGATTTTCCCGAGCGCGCGTGGTGTGTTTATTTATCCTATATGCTGGCTTGGTTCAACGCTCATCCAAAAGGTTATGTTCCACAAACCTTCGAGTGTTTCCCAACATAACCAGTGTTTTACCAAGTTAGATTAACATGTTTTCATTTTACTTTAAGGTATTTTTATCAATTTTGTGCATTGTACAGTCTGGTACACAAAATTAAAAACTGGGCACGAAAATGCCCTAATTTTTAGGTTTAAAGTGGTCTGCAATTTTCTGTAAAGATCTGTAAGGTTACGGACCGCTACCATGTGGTTCAGTACATCCTAAACGTCTAAATTTTCATTGGTTCATTTGCCTTTTCTTGCCTTACCGTGAGTTATGAATTTTTTTGTGACGCAAGATCGAGGATTTTATGCTAATTTCTTATATTAGATCACTCACGTGCCAGGCATTGGTGATTCTTGCATGTTGGCATCAATGCTCTTTCTCATTGTAAATACACTAACGAAAATCGATTCTAGGTTAGGATTTTCGATATATATCGATTCTATCGTAGATGTGTTCATATGGATGAAAGACAGTGTTGCCAAATTGCAAGCATGTCGTATAATGGCGCTATCCTACGCTAATCTACTTATATTGTTATTATAGATGTCCATACAATTGCTGCCCGACTTCTGGGGTTAAATTATGACTGATTCTGAATAAAATTTTCTAATTCAAGGTTTTATTCCGGCTTTGCCTCTCTATCTTCTAATTTCTGGCAAAAGAAGTGCATTCTTCAAAAAAATATTTTCATTGGTTCCGCCAAAAAATACGCGACAAGCAGACGACTCCTGAATTTTCTGGACATGTCTGGAGGATTCAAATGGTCAATTTTGTGTAAGAACACACTCCGAAATTTTAGAATTTCTTTGGTCTACTCGCAATTTTTCGCAATTTTCGGAGCAATGAGTATTTTCGTTGGGCGAGATGAGATTCAATACTATAATTACGCTGAAAAATACGCGACATGCAGACGACTCCTGAATTTTCTGGACATGTCTGTAGGGTTCAAATTGTCAATTTTAAGTAAAAGCATACTCAGAAATTTGAGAATTTCTTTGGTTCACTTGCAGTTTTCTGGGCTATGAATATTTTCGTTGGGCGAGATGAGATGCAATGCTAATTCTGCTGAAAAATACGCGACATATATTCCCATATATTACCCAGAGATAAATCATCATTTTTCAAATTTTTTAAATTTTAAACTGAAAAATGTTGAACAAAGAAAGCAAAACTGTAATTTACTCACTAAAATAACCCTCAGAAACCAATTTCTTCTCACAAAACAATCTCGGGTACCTCTAAAGATTTGAGTGAAAAATTGCTATTAATTACCCGTTGATAAAGCAATTTTTTTTTAATAATTCTCATCAAAAACTTCAAAATTTCTTAAAAAAAACCCAAAATATGGATTCAGCGACCTAAATTACCCCTAAAAACATACATTCTCTCATATTAGTAAGTTCAGGCGCCTCTGAGGACTTTTGACCGGCTAAACTTGGCTGCTGGCCCTCCGTGCGAGGCTATGTGGATTATGACGTGAGCCCTGTTATGCATATATTCTTATGAGTCTCAGGGCTCATACGTCTGAATGCACATAGATCTTTTTGGCAGAAATACGTCCATACAAATTTCATACACGGATACTTTACAAATAAAGACAATCTAAATTTTTAGGAATGTAATCAAAATCTCGTTTGATGCCCGAGTTTATTTTGAGTGTTCCAGTTGCTAGATTTCGTATGCTTTAGTATAAAAATTGTTGGACAACTGGACGTATTCCTGCCAAACAGAACTGTGTGCAGGTTGGAAAGATGGGGTCTGCTCGTTAGTGCTCGGGCCGTAAGAATTAATGGGAAATATAAAGCGCCAGTGACAAAGCCGTCGTCGCGGCTCGGCTCGGCAAGCATTAACCCATGAGCCCTGGCTTCAACGCTCTAGACACATGCCCAGGGCTCATACACTTTGCACATAGTTCCGTTTGACAGAATGTAAAATCCCGCTTTTCCAATTCAGCATACGGAGTGAGCCAACTAAAGCGG